GAGTGTCTAAAGCTAGCAAAGGGTGAATTAATGTGAGTGAACTGATGGATCTCCCTGTTGGGAGAGAGCGCATCCCCTTATATAGATAAAGGGGATGGCCTTACAAGAGAGAGAGAGTACGTATGCTACTAAGTCTTGTTGCTCATGCGCATCGGGTATAAGATGATGGTAGGCGCCCACAATACTATTTGTGTCAGACACATGTGGGTGGTTTTATCGTATTCACCGTATATGGCAAATGACGGCTCCTACAACACTGTTGATGCCTAGAGCCATGTGGGGGGGTTTACCGTGTTTGCTTGGTGTGGGAATTGATGGCGCCCATAACATTGTAGTGGTAAAACATCAGTGCCCACAACACTGCTTGGGTTCTGGCATGCCTAGAAGGTTGTAGGGCACCCTTCTGACATGTCATGTCGGTTACTGTCCTGCGGGTGTGTAGGGTACGGTCCTCGGTACTACGGTTGACTTGAGTGCCATGCCTTACTTGCTCCATCCGTTTCCTGGTCCTCACCAAGCGGGCTCCTCGGTCGGTTGATCCCAGTCGGCTCCGACTGCGCTAGTCGGAGAAGAGCTGTAAGCAGGGGTTCGGTCCGTCCCCGGTCGGAGACATGGGTCAGAGTCGGAAGTGGTGTTTGGCCAGGCCTTCCGGTCAGAGAGGCGGGCCGGAGTCGGAAGCGAGCACTGTTCCTCCTTAGCGAGGCCTTCCAGTAGGAGAGGCGGAACAGAATCAGAAGCGGGCGTCGTTCCTCCTCGGCCAGGCCTTCCGGTCAGAGATTGGATCGCCCTTCTGGCCTGTCATTTAGGTATTTGGGCCGGCCTAGGAGTTGTGCGTCGTTCGCAACGTCGTCTGCTGAGCCGAGCCTTTGCTGGAAAGCCGGTCCATGAGGGACCCCGGGTTTATGAACCCGATAATGGGGATCACACAAGCTACGCGCAATCCACTAGAGTACCTTTTGGCTCTCCGACGGGAACAGGTCAAGAACCCCTCACAATCACCATGATCGGAACTAGAGACAATCACCTTCCTCCGCTCGATGATCCTCGCTGCACCAAGCTGTCTAGGTGGCAGCAACCACCAAGAGTAACAAGCAAAATCTATAGTGAAACACAATCACTAAGTGCCTCTAGATGCAATCATTTAAAGCAATGCACTTGGATGCTCTGAATCTCACCAAAGTGATGAACCAATCAAGCTAAGTGAGTGAGAGAGTGTTGGCTAGGCTCACAAGAGTGTATAGGCAATGCAAATGGCAAGAGAGTGAGCAAGAGCCGGCCAACCACCTTTTATAGGGAGCCCAAACGAATAGAGCCATTGGCCCCCTCACTGTATGACCGGACACAGGACCCCAGCGTCTGGTCCTTGGATTCTCGCCACGTGTCCCCGTGATTCAACTGTGTTCGTTGATCTCCAACGGCTAGCTATGCTCGCGCCACGCATCAAGTGACGACCGGATGCACTAGCCCTGACCTGACGCGCCAGAGCCGCGTCCCAACACAGCGACCTGAAGCATCGAGGAGAAGACTTGACGCGCCACCACGCCAAGTCCGGTCGAGTACATAAACTACCCGAGAGGTATTTTAACGACCAGACATGTCAGATTGAGCATGACCAGATGCATGGCTGCGTCCGATCCTCACTACCGCCACGCGCCAACTCTAGCACCGCCATGTCACCATATGTCAGCAGCGACCGGACGCACCCCCTGCACGTCCGATCGTGTAGCCGCTCAGAGTCTGGTCACAAACCCTAAGCTATGCTGCCGCTGCACCATTGATCGGATGGGCAGGTCCAGCGTCCGGTCCAGCGTCCGATCATAGGAAACATTGCCTCCTCTTCTCAAACTTCACCACCCTTACTCAAATGTGCTAACCATCAAGTGTTTCACCTTGTGCACGTGTGTTAGCATATTTTCACAAACATTTTTAAGGGTATTAGCTCTCCACTAGATCTAAATGCATATGCAATGAATTAGAACATCTAGTGGCACTTTGATAACCACATTTCGATACGAGTTTAACCCCTCTTAATTGTACGGCTATCGATCCTAAATGTGATCACACTCGCTAAGTGTCTTGATCACCAAAACAAAATGGCCCTTTTAATATACCTTTGTCTTGAGCCTATTTTATTTTTCTCTTTCTTCTTTTCTAAGTCTAAGCACTTGATCATCTCCATGGCCATCACCATCATGATCATCTCCATCTTGATCCACCACTTGGAATGTGCATAACCTATCTCATGTTCACTTAGATCAACTAGGTTAGCACTTAGGGTTTCATTAATTAACCAAAACCAAACTAGGGCTTTTCACACGGGCCCGTGCCGTGCTAGCCGGGCCGGCCCTTTGCCCATATATAAGTGGAGGCAGCACCTGTGCGAGACGTGGGGGACAGCGATGGAAAGCGCATGTGCGAAACGTGGGGAGTAGCACGTCTGTGAGATGTGTGGTCCATTGGCAGTGAATAAAAAAAATCAGTTGTTACGCAGAGGTAAAACAACCGTGGTATAGCAATTCTATTTACAATACATAGTACATTTGACGCGGACGGACCATGTCGTGCGACGGTTTCTACGGCGAGCCCGAGTCGTTGAGGAACTCGCCCAACACCGGCTTCTACTATATGAAGTCGACGAACTGCACGGTAGGTAATGTTTGTCTCCTGCTAAACCATCAGTTCCCCCGAGCGCTCCCTTCAGGCGACTCGGGGGCGACACTCCGACGCCGCTCACTCACACCACCGTGTCCTCCCCGGCCGCCACCGCCCTCGGCCAGCGGCGGTCCGCGCGGGAGGACATGCGGCCTCTCCCGGCGACGCGCAGGAAGGATGTGGCGAGCTTCCGGCCTTCCTCCTGCCCACCCCTACCATCGCTGACATGCTGATGTCTTCCACTAGCCGGCCGCGTGGGGAGCAGCAGCGAGTGCGGGTCGGCGGCTGGGTTCACGTGGCTCGGTGGTCGGGGACGGGCGACGTTACCTGGCCTTCCTCCCACCTGCCCTAGCTATCGCCAGCGTGCTGAAGTCCGCGCCACACGCCTACGTGCTATGAGTTGCCGGACACGCGGTGGACGTTCGTTCCTTGACAACACACTCATGTTGCTCATCACTATGTACTTTGCCCATGTCGATGGCTAGGGTGCACGCTAGGTATTCGAGGGAATGTCTGACCGGGATATGTCTAACCATCTAAGCATCCACCATAGAAGCCGCCCGCCATCCCTTTGCCGGACTCCATGGGCTCTGAGACACAAACCCTCCGCCCACAAGTTGCTGATGGCGTGATGTGAGATCCAGAGCAAGGAGTTGCTGGCTGGCAGCTTAGAGCTATTGCGTAAGTGCTGAGGAACTGACAGGTGCACGCGACAGACGAAATCCACCAACGAACCAAACGCTCCACTTCCTCTCAGTCTCAGGTTCTACAAAGAAGCAGGGCCCTTCCGAATCTATTTTTGGACTTGTGATTGCCAAATTGTTAATATAAAAATAGAGGTAAAAACACAAATATCAAAATAAAATAGAGGTAAAAAACACTTGGACAAAATTGTCATTTGGTCTAAAAGTTAAAACCATTAGAGAAATTTCACGTAGCAAGGGTAAAGTCTATCTTCGTTTTGAACGTTTTGAAATCGAAGAGGTAAAATCACAAAGTAAAAAAAAACAAGTATAAATACTACTTAATCCATCTCAAATTGTAAGACGTTTGACTTTTTTGACATCAAGTTTGACCACTCGTCTTATTCAAAAATTTGTGTAAAATATCACTTCTTTCGTCGTGGTTTGGTTTATTAACAAAAATTCTTCAAGAATGACTTAAATTTGACTATATTTGCATAAATTTTTTGAATAAAACGAGTGATTAAACTTGGGATAAAAAAAGTCAAACGTCTTACCATTTGGGAGGGAGAGAGTATCATGGTACGGAGTACTAACTAATGTACACGGTAGCCACCGTCGAGGACCAGGCACACCTTTCCTGCGATGTTGGAGTGACGCCGGAGAAGCAGGGACCGGCCAGCTCAACCGCGCATCCAGAATCGCCTTGAAATCGCCCTGCGTCTACTGTACCGTGGGGAACGAACGAGAAGCTTCGTGGCCTCGCGGGCGGATATGAAAGCCTGAAACGCGGGTTGGAGCGGCGCCGCTGGGCTATGCGTATTAGCCGCATAAACCCGCTTCAGGTATATGGTCTGGCTGGAGGGCTAACGCGGGTTGTTGGCGCGGGACAGCCCAGCGGGCTAGCGACGTGACCCGCGCCGCTTGCATGTCTAACCTATACGAGACCCTACAAATCCTCACTCACGCACACTTTCCCCACTGGTCGTTCCCTTAACGGCGGCGGCTGCTTTCGAGTTGCGACCGCCGCCTCCGCCGGCGAGCAGGGAGCAACATATCAGGCGTCCGCCCTCTGCTGAGCGACAGTAAAACGTTCATATCAGGCCTCCGCCCTTCGCCCTCCGCTGAGCGACAGTAAAACCTCGCGATGCCAGCCGTCTTTTGTCGTTGTAATGCTGCTCTCCTCAATTCTGCGTTCGCCTGCACCGCTGCGAACCTTCCGGCGGGTTTGGTCGCCGACCTCAGCCAGGTTTTCCTCCCTAACCTTCCATCACTTTTTTTTCTTCCGAACTAGTTTGGCGGGCGTAGATCTGAATCTGCAGGCCGCCGCTTGCCCTTGGTCATTAGATTTCAATCCTTTTTCTTTATTATAGTTATATAAAAAAATCCTTTTTCATTACAATTCAATCCGTTCCGTTTACTGGTTCATACATATCCAAATCCGATCAGGATATTTGTTTCTTTTTCCTCTATATACGTTTTCCCTATTATGGTTCCTTTCTCTATGCCGGAATCGGTATCGTTTTGTCAAATCCTCTTCTGATTATGGGGCGCTCATAGCTGACCATATATTCATCTGAATACACAGGGCCGGAGCAGATTGAAATCGATTAGCAAAATCAATCGACCCGTATGATCCACACACAACCCAAACGTATCCGTCGGATGGCGGCGAGGCCTGATTCCGCCGGCAGTAACAGCCACATCCCTGATGACATACTCTTTTTTCAAATTCTCATACTACTCCCCGTGAAATGTCTTGTGCGCTTCCAGTCAGTATGCAAGAGTTGGCGCACAACTATACTCAGCACTCATTTTATCCGCTGCCACCTGGAGCATTCTAGGACTAGGTTGTCAATGGTCGTCGTTCCCCGAAAGTACCAGAAGGACTATAGGAAAGTTGGCATTCAGGGTGTCAATTTCTACAGTTTCCAGCCTGGGCAAAGCAAGGTTGCCGAGCTCATCCTAGAGAAAAGGTGTCCAGGTGGAATCCCGATGTTCACCATTCCTTTGCATTGTGATGGACTCATTCTGATCCCTTGCTTGACGGGACGGATGTTTGTGTGTAACCCGGCAACCAGGGAGTTTGTTGAATTGCCACAAGGAAGCCATAATGTTGCCGGGGATCACAGGGTCGCTTTTGGTGTCGACCCTTGTACTGGCAAGTATAAGGTCGCTAGGCACTTCTTCCGCTCATATGCCGATACCCCACAAGCAGATGGGGAAGGCACAATTCTGGAATATAGCGCTGGGCATGAGATCTTGACCATTGGTGATGGAGCAGATGCTTGGAAATGGAAGGCCACCGTGGACCCACCTTATGCTATCAATGCCAGGACTCCGATTTGTGTACCCGGGTTCTTCTATTGGAGCGCTCTCCACTCCGTCACCGGACATGGCATTAATAAGGTCAGTTCACATGTCATCCTTCGGTTTAGTTTGCACGACGAAACGTTCACCGTGCATCCCAACCCACCATGCAGTGGGTTTCTACGCAACAATGACACGCTGTGCCAGCTTGGTGGCAAGCTATGCTATGTCGAGTGTTCCTCGCCGTGGGATGTGGAAATTTGGTTGGCAGAGGATGGTCCAAACCTTGCTTGGCTGCGGCATTGCTGCATCCGCCTGCCGATGCCAAGGCTGCTGAACGTTTTTGCCTGTGCTTCGGGCGATAGAAACAAGATATTCCTGTCCATTGACGCTTTTCGCCTTTTGAGATGTGATCTGCGTGATGGATCTCTTGAGGAAATAATCGACATGGCACGGGAGTTGTTGTATGACCATCGGAATGGAACCAAATTCCGCACTGGTTTCGTCCCTGTTGCCCATTACATGGTCCCCTGTGTGGAATCGCTTTTGCGTATTAGACCATGGTAATAATGAGCGGGCAGATATTGTATGGGATCAATAATAGCTCTAAGCTCAGATGCACCTTGGTGCCCTTTTTTTGTGTTTTTGTGTGTGCGTGTGTGTGCACGCGCAAGTCTTTATAAGCTGAGTTTGTAAGAACACTATTATTAATCTATGATTTACTTATGTTGATTCTTGTACCGACATTCCATTTCTTTGCATTCAGTGTCATCAGATTATCATGTTTTTACCTGTGACAGCCCTTGTGGAGAAATGGTGGACCAAAATTAGTCCGCAATGCAAGGTACCTCAGTCTCAGTTCTTATGGCTCTAAACCACTGGTTTATACTCACGTTGATGCAAACAATGCACACATGCCATTTGGTATTATCATTCCAATCACTTGCAAATATAACTTCGAAGAAAAACAATCAAACCTACTTGATACCCTTGCTAATACCCTGCTCTGCGCAGTTAAATTGTGTTTACTACCCAAGTATAGGATGCTGGATTTCCGAAACAAGTTGTCTTGGCAATTTGATTGGCTGCAATTGCAAAGCGACGGAGTAGTTGATATGATACCCTGAACTCCATGCACCGCATGTTTTGTTGCAATATACTCGCCCAAGGATCTGGAATTTGTTTAGAGCTACAGTCCTATAGTGTTTGGAATGGTGGAATGAAGAAATATGACATGAATATATACTGTACGTGCTAGGCCATCTAGTCATCGTATCCGACTCTTCCGTCCTCGTCGGCCATCCACGTCGATCTCCGTCTTCCTCTTTTCGTTTGGATCTCGGTAGCCATGTCTGAACACCGATCGAGAACGCATATGGGCAGCCTGAGCAAAAGCGGAACAGGCCCGGGCATCTGGGTTGTTTCTTGCTCGGGGCTCTCCTGCCCACTGTGTCCTCCGGTTGGAGTGCGCTGGTGTAGCGTAACGAGCATCAAGCATGTCGAGCTTGGGGTTTGGGAATGGGCACGTCACCTTACCTCCGGACGGTGGTCGTCACCTTCCGGACTAAGCAAGGCGATAAAGTGTGGCCGCCGCCCGCTGGTGATTATTAGTATTGCTTAGGCTTGGGCCATGTTTAGTTCCCCCAGTTTTTTGAATTTGGCACTATGTACACATCAAACTTGCGGTACATGCATGAAGTACTAAATGTAGACGAAATCAAAAACTAATTACATAGTTTGATTGTACTTTACGAGACGAACGTTTTGAGCCTAATTAGTCAATGTTTGGACAATTATTATCAAATACAAACGAAATGCTACAGTGCACTACAATGCACCTGCATTTCCGGCGGCGCCAACTTTGGCCGGAACTAAACGCGGCCTTGGTTTGGCTGAACGTTGAAATCAGCCACGTGTGCTGTCGTCCAGGCATGGAACGGTTGAACCCAGTCCGGTCACCGAAATCCTCTCCCACCAATCCCCTCCCACCGTGTATTGGCATTGTTTATTTGGATGATCCCACCGAGGTCCGAGCCCCTGAGCCACGACGCTCGAGTGCTTCCACGCCTCCGGTGGAGACAATTTTCTCCACCGTGGATCAACGTGTATCGAGTCCTCGTCCACGCCAAAACTCGTCCAGCCAAATGCAGTTTTGCGGGGAACATGGGAGCGGACCACGGCGTGGGCCATGTCACACGGGAGGCCGGGTTTGGGGGCCGATACACCCAAACCATAAGCAGCCAAACGAAACGAGGCCTTAGCGAAAACCATCGTGTGTGTCTATATATATATATTACTAAATAATTATTCAGTACCCAGCGTCCTGTTGGACAAGCTCCAGGCCCGGCCCAGCCTCACATGACCAGGATCGTCTGCCCGAGCCCCGAGCAGCCGAGCGGGAGATAATTGAAGTTTTGCCATTATGAAACGTAGGCTTCGCTCGTTTGCCATCCCGTAAAAGGGATTCGCTCGTTTGCCATTATAAAACTAGACACACTCGCTGGAGTGCCCTTTTATCCGCCCACCATACCAGCATGACCGTTTTGCCCCTGCTTGGTGGGGCGCTCCTCTCCCTGGAAAGCATCATCGTCACCAAGAAGCATGGTGGGGCGCTCCTCTCCCTCGCCGCCGGCATGGAGGCCCCGCGCGGCAAGCAGAGCCTGGAGTTTCCGGCGGAGCACGGTGTCCATGGACACGTTCCGCTCGTCCACGGCGGAGCACGGATGGCGCGCACCACGGCGCAGTCCGCGAACGTGCCTTGCAACCTGCGCAGCGACGTCGTGTACAACACCACCGCCTGCGGCCGCTGCGCGCGCAATTGGTACGCGAGTTGCTGCCGCCGCCACCTGGACGCCGTCATTACCTTCTCTGTCAGGGACGACATCTCCACCTTCGGGGCCGTCGGGACCGTCGTGTGTGGATCTGCGGTCGACATCCTCAGCTGCATGTGCAAGCACAGCACTCGACGAGGGAGAGGCAGAGGCGTCTACCTTGGTGCCTTGCGTGGTGCGGTCGGCGCCCCCGGCTGCGCATGCGAGCACAATGCACGACGACCGGTTCCGACAAGCATGTGCCGAGGGCCATCTTCGTCGACCTGGAGCCCACTGTCATCGACGAGGTTTGCACTGGTTCATTCGGCCAGCTCTTCCTCCCAGAGCAGCTCATCTCGAGGAAAGAGGATGCAGATAACTATACTGGAGCATCCGATCTTCATTTTCCTTGATAAGATGGATAATTCTTGAGTTATCTTGCCAATTCAAAAGAATGGGAATGATCTGGAAGTTAGTTTACTGAATCATCATTGGGATCTTGCTGGTACCAACGTCATTCAGTTACTGTTGAAGGCTCTAGCAAGCTTTAATATTTGTGATGGTCCGGAAAGATGGCCAGTAGAGCTTGCTGTGTTGTGCGATTGCAAGAAAGAAGTGGAGATGCTGCTGCCCTTGACTTCGCCAATTCCAATATTTCCAAATGTCAGAAACTATTACAGATACATGAGTGAAGCTGATGCAAGTGTTGTTCCAAGCTTTTTTGATTGATACAATAGGTTCAGTCAACAATTTTTTCTAAGATTTTCCAACCCTTCAGGAGCTTTCAGTTCCCAGTATGGGTCATTTCCATGGACACAATAGGTTGGCTGATGTTTGACCGAGCACGTCCCGGTCGAACTAGAGGGCGAGGTGCTCCAGATCCTCGTCGTCGTGGACGAAGACGAGCGCAGTGGTTCCGGCGGCGACGTCGATGTACTGTCGCACCCGGTCGGCAGGCCGCGATAGATGCTGCGCGAGCTTGCGCGCGAACCCGCCTGGCTGCGGCAGCAGTAGGTGCCTCCCGTGTGGCACCCGCAGCCCCGAAGACGGTCGTGCGTCAGCGAGCTCAGCGACGTCGCCTCCATTTTCTGCCGTTGAAGAAGAAGCAGGGGCAAAACGGTCGATGGGCGGATAAAAGGGCATTTCAGCGAGTGTGTCCAGTTTCATAATGGCAAACGAGCGAATCCTTTTTACAGGATGGCAAATGAGCGAAGCCCACGGTTCATAATGGCAAAACTCCAATTATCTCGCCGAGCGGCATCACCGGCCGCTCCCACCCTACCCCCACCCCTACCCCCACGATCTCACCGCATCAATCCCACCCCGACGCCAGTTGCGTAGTTTTCTTCCGATCCACCTCCTCGCCGGCGCTGGCCCCCACCCCGTCCTGCAGCTACGGTTCCCACCCAGCACCACCGTTAGTCGTGCTCGCCGAAGCCCCCGCGAGCACCGGCGGTGACACCGCGAGCCGCACGGGGTGGGCGGCGGGCGCAGTTGCGGATCTTTGGACGCAAGCTTCCCCGGTGTCGCCGCCTCCACCTCGCCCTGCAGGAGTCGCATCGGCGCCATCGCCTGCCCCCGCCCCCACGCCCACCTTACCCCCCGCAGCCTGCTGCATGAGACAAAAATTAAAGGACTTGCAAGCCCACCTTGGCTCGCCGCCCCTGCGATCCGTCGTGCTCCCCTCACCCATTAGCTCTCCGCCGCCACGGGATGCGACCGAGAAGTCCTAGGTGAAGGCGGACAGTCTTACTCGGTCGGTGGCAGCGCCGGTTACTGATGCTTTCCCGCGTAGATGGAGGCATCTGGTCCTTCAGGTATCCCTATACCCTCCTTCAGTTTTGGAAGCGTAACATTCTGTCGTGTTCGTCCTAATAAGGAATTTTATGTTCAACATTAGGTTCCCATTTGATTTTAGATTTGATCTGTATGTCTCGTGTGGTTTTATTTGACCAGCTGATGGTACGTTGGGATTTTTTTTTGTGTTCTGCATCAAAGTCAAATTATTGTAACTGATGACTCCATCAGCCTCTTTTTGCATAGGTGTGGCAGAACCTCCTAAATTATAGGATCCACATGCACTTGTCACTGTCCAACGACCTTTGACAACTAGGCATATGTTCCTGGTAACTTAAGAAGTCTGTCGGGTGTCCTCGGGGAACCCCGAATCATCCACGATTTCCGAGCAGGATCACATTACAGACTCATTGCAGTATTACAATATTTATTCAAATATCAATACCAGAGTAAAAATAGCGGAAGTCTTACGATAACTTAGTTTACAAACCAGTTGTTTCAAGCCTTACAAACTAAGTTCGATAATTATTACAAACCGTAGTAGTAGTGGAGTAGCATTATAATATAATACAAAACACACAATGAAACTGCTCTGCCCAAGGGCCACACATTTACTTCTCATCGTCATCACAAGGAACAACCGTCATGCAGCATGATCCAAAATAGATCTGCTCATGAGGCTCACCTGCAACAAGAGTTAACGAACCCTGAGTACAAAAGTACTCAACAAGACTTAACCGAAATAAGAACTGATAAACTCAGGAATGCAGGCTCAGGGATTCAAGGTATAGCTTTCACAATAATCAAAGTTCTTTTGCGTAAAAGCTTTTTAACAAAATTCTTTATATAGAAAACTTCATAAAATCATATACAAAGCTGACACGATCCGTGTTTGAGATCATGAAACTTCATATCCAACACTTTCTCAACCAGCCTCAAGTTCCAGTTATTAATACTACGATGATGAATAGTGAGTTGAGTCTCCATAACCGAGGAGCAACGACGATTCGAACCGATTAAAACCCAGCTGGGAATTTCAGACCACACGACATATACAGGTCCCTGACCTACATATACCAACCTACCCTCGGATCCTCTAAACAAGAATGGGTCCGCGCCACCCGAGAACATAGTACCCCACCAATCCAGCCTATGGCCACGTGGGTACACGCTATTCCCGCCATCTCTCCACTCCCAGTGCGCGAGTAGCCATTCTCGTACTAGAATCGCCAAGTTAAGGCTTACCGGAGTATATGGTTAGTACTACAAATTCTCATCTCATGCAATTCAACAACGGACGTGCCTTAATCGACACAGGCGGAAAGAATCCGCTCACAAGACCTCCATGTCTTGTGGCTCACACACACCGAGTTCGCCCGATCTAGATTTATTACTCCATATTCCCATATCACATGTTAACATAATTAACCAAAGTTCCATTTAAAGTTCGCAGGTGACCGGCAATCACCCGACTTTCCTCGTTCTACGCCTAGCTAAGCAAAACTAGGCATATACGAATTTAAAACTAGTAATAAGATAAATATGGAATAACAAGGGTGGTAATGCACCAATTGAGCTCTTACTTAACTCCTAATCACTTAATGCAGCAATGAAAAGCAAAAGCGAAATTAATTTGTAAAACACAAGGTAGGGTTGTATGCATCCGGGGCTTGCCTTTGTTAACGGAAAAGTCCGGTTCCTGCGACGTTTCACAAGTATTCGATCCGACCTCAACAGACGGATTAACCTCTTCCGCAACTTGATTAACTACCACGTGTTCACCTTCGTTCACTACACGTAGTAACAATGCCATGTTTAACAGGATGCGGAATACGAAACATGATGCTCGATGATGAATGCAAAAATTAACAATTTGAATACAACTTTCCTTCGTGATACAGTTACAAGTCAAACTAACCAAATCTTTTTCGTACTACTTACATCAATTGCCAAAGATCATTACCAACTAATGACCCAAGGACATCACTCAATAAAAAAAATTCAAACAAAACCTAAATCACTAAAGGTTACTATTTGCTTTTAAGAATTAATTAATTAATTAAGAATTATGAAATAAATCAACTTGTTCCAATTGACCTCAAAATTTTTGTAAATGTTCATTACATGATAACTCAATGGCAAAACAATTTTCATAATTGTTGGATAAATATATAAGCCTAGAAAAATCATGGAAATCCATGTATTAATAAATTGAGCAATTTTTATCACATTCAAAAATTACTGAAAAACATTATTTCATATTTTTCTTAAATACTATACATCACAGAGAAGTTACACAGAAATTTTCATAATTTTTGGAGCTCTAAATAAATCTACACAAAATAACAAATTACATCACTATTCATTCAAATCTGAAAATAGAAAAATCCATTTGAACGCTGAGTCGCTGACACCATGACCCCACATGTCATCCCTAACCTCGCGCGCTGACCACGGCAACGACGGCGCTGACCGGCGATATCTCGACGACGGCGAGACCAACGGCGACGGCCAAAGCACCAAAACACTCCCCTCGACTAGGCGCATCATTCTAGGGCACAAGCTGGACTAGCTACGAACTGGACCGAGCACTACGCCGGTCATGGCAGCCACGACGGCGCGGCTACACTACGCTGGTGACGTGAGACCTGTAAAGCTTAAACAGATAGCCCAGGAAGCATCAGCAGCTCACCCCAAACGCGACTGAGTAGAGCACAAGGCCGGAGGAGCAACGGAGAGGTGGGTCAACGTTCCGAGCAAGCACGGCGGAGCAGATCGTCGTCGGTGGCGATGTTCCGGGAGCTGTGGTGGTCAAAATGAGAAATCAATGGGTCATGGAGTACCACAGCATCATGGCGAAGCCGAAACAAGACTCAGCAGGGGCAGAGGCTCACCGTAACACGCTGGCCACGGCGAGGTACGCTCGACGGAGATGCTGCCGGTCGTGGGGAAGAAAGACGACGCGCGGCGAAATTTGGCGAAGTCAGACGGCTACGACCGGTTGAATGGGTGCGCAAGGAAGAGGTGAAGCTGTTGAGCACTTTGCTGTGATGACACAGGCGCTGGTTCGACGGCGAGGGCTCAACGGAGCTGCGGCAATGGCGCCGGGAATACAGAGGAAGGGAAACGGCGAAGAACGGCGACGGCTTAGGCCTTAAGGAGCGGCCAGAAGCGCAAGGAAGCCACGCAGGAGCCTTTCCCACGCCAGCGCGAAGCCGAGGACGTCCACGCGCGCGTCTGGAAGCGAACCGAATGTCGCCGGCGGTGTAGCTACGGCGGTGAACACTGTTCACAGTATTTACAAGTTTGCCATTCGCCAAAATTCACAAATTACTCTCAAATTTTCATAACAACTCAAAAATCTCCAAAAACAAAAGTTGTTCAAAATCAAAAGTTCTACAACTTTGCTTTTATAACTAACTCCTAATTCGGTCTAGATTTTGAAATGAACTTTTGAATTCGAATAGGGAAATTTAACGAATTACGCCTTTTCGAATTACTCCAAATTTTTCTAAACAACTTGAAAAACTCCAAAAACAAACTTTGTTTAACTTGTCAAGCTCTACACTTTTGCTTTTGGGCTCAACCCCAAAATATGCTTAGATTTTGAAATGAGTTTTCAGGGTAGGATTTAAATATTAAAAATCCGGATTTTCGGAATTTCAAATTAATACAAAGATTTTAAACTTGATTCAAACAATACCAAGCAATACTTATAACATAAATATAAACTTGTTTAAGTGAATGCATATCAAAGTTTGCAATATGACCAATGCCTTGCAATACATATGATGACATGTCCAGTTTTTAATACTTAAACACCCGGGGTGTTACAATAGAGAGCTGCTGATAGGCCGGATCCCATGGACACCAGTGTTGGCGGAAGGCGGTGCTCACCATGCTGCTACTGCTTGCCAAGGATATGGTGGTGCAGCTGGCAAGGACCGGTCGGTAGGTGAACGTCGGCAGCCCTTTTTCGTTTAGGCACGGTGCAACCCTCCCCCGTCCTCCCTGTCACGATGGCGGACAGCGTGTACGTAAACAAGGGTGTCAGCTTGCCAGTAAGCTGCAAGGAACCAATCTGCTCACTTTTCTCATGGAAAAGAATTATGATTCCTCTTATTTAGGAATAGTCATTGAAGGCTCCCCTGGTCAGGCAAGGTCACACTCGGAACCAAGCAGGCCCTTTGTCTCCTCTGGTCTCGAACTCTAACCCTCAGGTAATAGGTTTGGAATTCAGAGTAGACACCACCTGTAGCCTGTCTTTTAATCGTGGAACATTACATCACTTAAATTAATTGTGCATTTTTTAACTCAATGCTCTCATGATTTGAGTTTGGAAGTTGAGCCGGGTCATCACGGCTTGTTGTGGAGAACTTCTTATTTGTTATCGATTCATGAAAAAAGGTGTGATTTCAATTTATTTGTGCAAAATAATATTTGTGGTCAGTCTAGGTCATCTACAAATAACTAAGGATTTTATGGTTCATCCATTTCATTTTTCTGGTAGCTAAGATTTTGCATCTACATATGTAATTATTTGTGTTTCAGAAACTAAATTGATGATAGCTTGTATATAATTAAGTTTACTATTCACTCATAATATAATATGCTGGCTTTTAGATTATGAACCCATGACATTTTCATGCATTGCTTCTGTTTGTCTACTGTCGTTTCATTGTTTATTAGATTATGAATCAATGACATGCCACATTTCTCTCTAGGATGATGTTAATGTGATTATTCCCCATTTAGATATGAGGTCCCTCTGC